CGTCGAGACAAAGTGACTGCCGACTCAAGTCGAGAGCATTATGTTCCCAGGTCCTCGCCAAAGCCCCAGAAACATCTTCTTGTCGTTTTCCGGTAGAAAACAGTATAAGTTCATGTGGGCATGAGTCTCAAAGCGCGTATGAATGTATACAAACCGTGGCTTAATCTAAAAAGTTTCCTACTGCTGTTTTCCGTCGTACGGCAGTTTTCCTCATAACAACACGTGGAGACCGCGATAAACAAGTCCCACCCGCGGTTCGGCAACCGCGAGTGTCTGTGTTTGAACAGAGAAAATACTTGTCTCAAGAAGGATGAAGAATTGGGAGAGGTAGAAAGGTGAGTCAGTTTTATTTTAGAGAAGCAGGTTTGCACTCCTGCCTTCTATTTGATCGGCTCGAGTAATGTCTGAGGTAATCGGATGAATTATCGCTATAGGTGTTCTCGCCGACTTGTCTTCAAATTTTCGGGTATTTTCCATCGCAGGGTCGGGTTGTTATGCGAAATTATTAGAGATGTTTTTTTGTCAGTTTGTCAAAACGGGAAATATGGAATTGACATGGGAAGTGGTGTATTCATCACAAGGGAGAATTAAGCATATTTTATTATATTTATTTATTTATTTATTTATTTATTCATTCACTTATATTATTTTGATTTCGTGACTTAAAAACAGCGAGAGCGGTTTCTCAATTTTTTCCCATCACTGACCGTAAGGGCTGTCCACGGGACAACTTTTAGACACCATCGGATACTAAAACTCACTTTTTTGTGAACTTGAATTGGTGTTTTTTTCTTCCTCTTCGTTCTTTTTTACGACGATACAATGTGAAAAAACGATTTTTTCACGAAATAAACTTTGAAATTGAATGAAAAATTTGGATCGTAGAAAAAACACATCATAATTCTCTTGCGTCAGTATATACAAAAATTTTCAAATGGAGAATGAATCATACTTTTTTTAAAGTACCGGCCCGCCTAACTAATTTTTAAAAATCCTCAACCGTTACGCTTTTTATAAAAATGCGAGAAATACCAAGGTATTCAGGAACCTGAAAAATCGAGACTTATCAGGGAATTCTTTTGGCATGAGCGAAAACCTTAAAAAACGTCGTGGATGTGATTAGCTCATTGTCAGTTTGCCTCCAGTTTTAAGTGTAGGCAACCCGAGCTCCCATGTGGCCGTATAGTGGTATCACTCTCACACGTCACAATTGCTCAAGGGAGACAACTGGTATAATTTACAGAGCGTGACGTGGAGCGGTGACTTTACCTCACCGTCAGTTCGCCTCCAGTTTTCAGTGTAGGCAACCCGAGCTCCCTCGTGGTCGAATAGTGGTATCATTATCAGATGTCACGATTGCTCACGGAGGAAAGCAGGACTAGGTTTAACCAGGATGTTTGGCGTGGATTAGTGACTTTACATCGTGTTTTCTATTTTTTGCAAGATATTTTAGCGCTTATCTCTCTGAAATTGCTCCGCGCAAAAATGTATTTTCCCACATTGCTAAATTATCATTATAAATTATCATCTAGGCACTTTTCTTGTTAAGTATTGAACATAGAACAACTATTGATATCTTGATATCTATATGTTTTAAATTAATTCGTTTTTTTCTTTCATTTTCAGGTATGCAATAAGTTTCTAAAACTCTGGGAACCCCGCCAGTGCTCCGCGTGAGTAAATTCTCTTATATACATATTAGACGAAGTTTATTAGCTCCAAATTGAGTTAATAAATTGTGAGTCGCGTCGCGGGCGATTGCTGGATTTATGGCCGAATCGCGGCGGTAACAAATTCATCGACTGCGGGTTAAAAAAAATAAAATATTGTTTTCTAGTAGGTTTTCAGAAATTATTGATCAGATGCGGAGGAGTTTAGAGGCCATGAGGGATATACTCAAGTTGTTTGTAATTCTGTCAAAAACGCCGCTATTTTCTTCTTGCATTCTTCTTTGTAGTTTCTGTATCACTCAAGTTTGATCTTTTCCTCAATGGAGATGTTGCATGGTTGAGGAATTGGCGATTTGACTACTGATTCTTATGTAAAAGTTTGCGAGAAACACGATGGTGCCACTGGTTTTCTCTGAAATCAACTCCCAAGCTCAAAAAACGCTCTCAAGTTGAGGCCAAAATGGAGGGGATATCCCACCCTACCCTGAGAGTCCACGTCTACATCAAGACAAAGTCTCCATGCAAAGATAGGGAGCAAATACATTGACAGGGCTGCCACTTTATTTGGGGACTCCAAAACTGAAAACACGGCAACCCTGCTAATGTATTTGCTCCCTATCTTTGCATGGAGAGTTTGTCTTGATGTAGACGTGGACTCTCAGGGTAGGGTGGGATATACCCTCCATTTTGGCCTCAACTTGAGAGCTTTTTTTGAGCTTGTGAGTTAATTTCAGAGAAAACCAGTGGCACCATCGTGTTTCTCGCGAACTTTTACATAAGAATCAACAGTCAAATCGCAAATTCCTCACACATGCAACATCTCCATTTTCCTCAGCGGATTCCATCATGATATCGCAAACCCCAAAAGGGGTGTACACACTTGTTAGGGAGTTGCGTATCCAGTAAAGTACGGCCCAAATGAAGTGAATGTCGCATATAGACAGACGAGAGAAATTGCGTGACGATGTCTAGCGATTTACGATCCAAAAAAAAACTCAATATCGCACGGTGGCGTATGGCCTTTCTCGGGGAAAGAGTATTTTTACCCCCGAAATAATTGAAAGCCGAGGAACATTCATTATTAATGTACTCGGGCAGATAATCTACCCTTATTTTCACGGAAATCCGAGCTTAGGCCCAACTTTGAAGCCCTTATAATTGATTCAGCTGCGTGATGATTTTTGTATTCTGTGACGGTATCAGGGCCCCCAGGCATGAAATAAAAAGGCACGAAAAATCAAGCCGTTAGCGTGTTAAGCCTCGGCTTCACAGAGCGCCAGCGACGAGAAGTCGGCCGCGCGGTGATCGAGTCGGAACATCCTATACCCGCCTTTTGCCATTAAAAAGCCGATTCGCGTCGCTAATTTCTATGGCAACGGACTGGTTAAATGGGGCAGAGAAGGCCTATGCTGGCCCATATATTTGATGCCCCTTTTCTCAGGATCTACTGGGTTTTTTTTCAAAAACTTTTTTTTGTTAGATTCCAAAGCGTCTTTAAATCAAGTTAACACGAGGTTTTATTGAAATTCCAGGAAAAATAGAATGCCTTTTTGAATCTTTGGTTTAAATTTTCCAGAAAATTCTGACTTTGGAAACCCATAAAAATGATGGATATCAAAATTTTGAAAAAGACCCGTGTAAAAGTGTAGTGAAAACTACCTGAAATCATTCAAACATTAAACTCGAAAAAAGACCTAGTAGATCTTGAGAAGAGGGGCATTTTATGTGAAAAAATGTGGTTTATAGAAAATCAGACTTTTACAAAATAAGTAAAAAAATATATAGAAACAAGTCGTTACAGTACCTAGACCTCCCCAAATTTAAAAGCCCCTCCCACCTGACGTACTTTTCAGAATTTAAAAAAGCATGGTCTTATTTCACCCACGAGAGTGGGCAAAAGAGAAAAATGCAAATAGTCCAAAAATCGAAAAATTTCGATTTTTTTCTCTTTTCTACCCCCTTACTAAAACCACAGAATCTAGTACAAAACACCTTGCGCGGGCAACTTCGTGTTGCGCGCGTCCTCTGAAACCGTGGCTTCAGATGAGCCATGAGCGTGGCGCGACGTTGTTGGAGCTCAATGCGTGCCTCATTAAAAACGTATCTCTTTAATGTAACAGTCGATTGCTGCGTAGTTATCCTTATCACTCCACATCGTCCACGCCTCTTTTTAGCCTTCAATAGGATCCCTGTCCGCGCGCCGAAAAATGACGTCTTTTCCCGCCCTTTCCTGCTTCAGCTCTCTCAAAAAATTTCAACCCAGGCTTTTCAAGAATTAGAGCTCTTGTATTTTTTGAAAATCTGGGATCTCTGAGCGAGAAAAACGACAAGTAGACCTCTATTAATTCATTTCTTCGATTAGAGACGTTCAAATATTATCCTGACGTCATTTAGACCAACTTTTTCTTTATTCCCATTTTGAATTACGCACGACAGCCCCTCCCCCAAATTTTTTAGAAGACAACAGAGGAATTCTGAAAAATACCCGTAATTTTTCACTTCAAAATTTGGTAAAATGTTCTATTTAACTGATTTTTACGTAGTGTCTAATGCTAATTACAACAAGAGAAATTACGGGAATGGGGTAGGAAGTGAAGATATGAATAGTCATGATTGAAGCAATCTGAGCCTCTTTTTTTTTAAACCAGAAAGATATTTTATTAATATTTACAAGGAAGAACGAAGCGAGACAGTAACTTCGTCCGAAGGCCTATCGGTACAAACTAGAATAAAATTTGAGCCTTGTATTTATACGTAGAGGCAAAAGGAGAACTGTGACTGTCACAAAGTATCAATGAATGAAGGATAAATGAAAGATAATGTATTTTAACACTTCATATGAACTATATTAAATTAAAAATAAAGTATAATGATAATAACGTAAGCTCTAAAAACGGGCTAGAATCCGTTGATGTATCAAACAGAGATGGAACACTATGAATGGTAAGATAGAGGTATAGACTATGGTCGAGGACGATGGCATGAAACACTCAGACAATCTAGTCCCGCTCCATCCGGGATCTCTTCGAGATCAGCAAGACTGGATTGAACCATCTGTTATTTTAACACTCACAATCGCGTCTCTCTTTTTAAATTTCAAACGGAATTTTCAAAAGTGTTCCCTTAAAAAGAAAAAAAGAAAGAAAGAAAGAAATATTTAAGTGAACTTGGTTTGAATTGAATTGGCCCTAAGGAACCAGATTTCTTCATAGTGTTATGTGCACTTGTTTTTTAGGAAGAACTGTTTTTTTAGATGAGTCCAGATCAGGACCAGGTTAGGACTCAATTCCTTTTCGAAAACAAAAATTCACAAACTACAGAACCCCAAAATAGGTACATGAACCGATAAAAAAAAACTGAAAACGTGAGTAAACGACGATGAAATTTTATGAATATTCAAAAGTTACACTCTGAATAATAATTTGAAGACAGATGAATTAGTGAGTTGATATCGCTCTGAGCTTTTAGCCTTTTCCGCCAAAGACCATCTTCAAAAATAGATAAATAAATAAATAGATAAATAAATAAATAAATAAATAAATGAAAATTATAGGTGAATCACTACATAACGACTTTCCGAAAAATATTTACCACGAAATAAACAGTTTTTTGTGTCTCCTGAACAAGTTGGTTTTTTGGACTTGTGCCCTTTTTGTATTTAGTGATTCAGGTACTCTCCGGTTTTGAGAATTACTTGCTCGAAAATGAGTGAAAAACTAGTTTACAAAAGTTTGCCTTTCACAAAAACTATGTTTACCCCTTCAGAAATGCCACGTTAACTCTCGTCGTATAGATAGTTTGATGTTGATCAAGATAGTACCATGGTAAGTCAGTTAGAATGCAGAATTTCCAACTTACAGTAAAACGCAGTAAAACATACTATGTTTCATGCAAGGGGTTTCATGAGGCTGTCGCAACTTCACTCATAATCATCGGCGCATAAAAGTTTCAACTTTTGCTTCTATTCAAAATACGTCTTATCTTTTGAAACAAGCCTAACTATTTATATTTTTATTTTTTTTGGACCTACGGTAAACTATGGATTTACTGCTCTTAGACTTGGCATTGCAGGATAGGTCTCTATGGGTCACCCGCTCACAACAACCCTATGGCTCGATTGATACATCCCCCGGATAGTGTTTGTTTAACTTGACGTTTAAAGAGTTACCGTTGAAGGCGCGGTTAGGACTGCTGTTAGGAGAGCTGGTGGCCCTCCCCCTTTTTCTAACCCTAGGTGAGTCCCTAACAGGACTCTTGACGTCATGCTGGTGGCTGTTGCCCGTATTTAAATCACCGTCTCCGCCTGTACCCCAGTACTTTTCGCCATCACTGTCCGTCCAGTCTTGAACCATTTTTTGTTTATTTCTCATTTTGTCGGCTTTCTCATCCTTCTTTACCTTGGCATTGTCTAGAGCACCACTCGCAGCAACAGCAGCAGCAGCAACAACAACAGCCTGCCTCTCTGCTTCGAAGTTCTCCCTCTTTCGACTTCTACTCTTCTGGCTCTTTCTGCCATTACTGCGTTTGCTCCTCTGGCTATTTGTACTACTACTGCTTTGGCTCCTCTGGCTACTGCTGCTATCATCGCTGTACTGTGTTATTAAACTGTAGCTTTTGATAGGTGCCTTGTCCTCGCTATCAGAGCTTCTGCTACTTTCTTGTCGGTTTCTACCACTCATGTCGGAGTTCTTGCTGCCTCTACTGGGAGAATTCCGGCGTTGATGACCAGGTGATCTGCCAGCACCAACATCTGGCTCCTCTTCCTTGCGAAAGGCTGCATCCACCTCAAGTGACTTTTGAAGACAATATTTGAAAGGAAACTCTAACGGGGGATCAATGCGGTCCGCGTCATGCCAATAGACACCGCATATCCAGCTGAAAAATGTAAAACAACAAGATTTTCAAGTATTTTCTTGCAGCGATGCGAATTGTTCAAGTCGATAATTCAAACACAACACAATTCTAGCGTGCTTTTCCTCTGCATGTTGTTCTCATGTTCCTGACTCCTTTTTTAATTCTGGGTTGTTTTCTATTCTGCCGTGCTAAGGAGAAGCGCACTGGCGGGTGGGCGGAAAAAATTCAGGAGGTGGACAAATTTTTTTCCAACCCAGAAAGCAAAAGTATCTGGATGATTTTGTAGCTTATGCTACAGACTATCAAGTTGTAGTATCAATTTTATTTATTCCTCCTTCAATGATTTTCAAACAGACCCTTGTCGGGCATCGAAGAAAATAACTACTTTTGGTGCTGAAGTGGTCATCGTCTATAAATCAATAGCAAGATTTTTTTTTTCAAAAACCGACATCATACTCTGTAAGTGCGTAGTCTAAGCTACAAAATCATATATTAACATGCTCATAAAAATCTCTTATTCGTGCCAATATTGACACTTGAACCTGGGTGGAGAAAATTTCGAGTTTTGTTTGTTTTAGATTTCATTTAAAAAAAAGCTCCACTGAGCTCCACTTTGAGACTTATATAGGCTCATTGGTAAAAGTCTGAAGAGTGAATGGTGAAAAAAGATTTTGCAGATAGCTGCAGGTTTGAGCGTTAGAGAGGTTTTAGTGAGCGTAGGTGCGAGTTGGGAGATGAGAAATTCGGCGCGTCGCACTGCAGCACGTCGCATCGCTCTGATAAGACTCTTTCAGCGATGACATTTTATCTCATTTTTGACCTAATATAAGGAATATGGACACGATACGGAATCAAAAAACCATTTAAAACAATGACTTCTCCAAGTGGTGGACATGTCATGGGTCAAGAAACCGGACATTTAGTCGGCGATTTATACCTTCGAAAGAAGCTCGATGTTTACGATTGCACGCGGATCTATGCAATGCTTCATTTGCAGAATATATTGGGGTAAAGTTTATTGAAAGCAAACACAAGACTTTAAGTGACAGACATAAAACGTTTGTTATTGCAGAATTGAAAAAACGATTTGTTCCTCACTTTAAAAGCAAATGGAAGCAAGTGCATCGAACACTGGAAAAAAAGTCACTTGGATCTAGAGTTCAGACTCTTGAAAACAATGACAAGAAAAAATACTCATGATTCAATCGGATTTTTGCTTCAATCGAGAACCAATCCTCTTGATTTAAGCGAATTTTGATTTCCCATTATTTCTTTTTGATCCGAGCAAAAATCCGATTGGATCAAGAGTATTTTTTCTTGTCATTGTTTTCAAGAGTCTGGACTCTAGATCCAAGCGACTATTTTTTCCAGTGAATAAGAAAATACTTCGAGTTAAAATTTAAAAAGTGGCTCACTTCCAATGCCTATACAATTTATGGTTTTAAAAAATTGTAATTTGGCAATGAGTTACTTATTCTCGTTCCTATAAACATTTTTAACAGTATTAGTCAGAACAGTTTCGACATCATTTACTTATTGCAGTCCATTTCATGTGCGAGTTGCTCAAAAATTGTGCAGGGGGGGGGGAGGTTGGTGTTTACAACTTTAAAAATAATTTCCGATAATCAAGTGATCATACCAAACTACTACTACCCATGTGTTAAGCATTTCAACAATTTGGAATTATTGCCGCAAAAGCGTGACTACCCGCCAGTGTGCGCCGTATGAACATTCGAAAGTTGCCAAATTTCCTTCAATAAAAGGTCCATTTTTGAGGAGCGCTATGAATATTTTTCCTTGAAGTTTTCAGGAATTTTAGATAAAATTGCAAGCAACTTTATCTGAAAAGTTGGAAGAAAATTATTCACAAATTTTCCCGAAAATTCGTGATTTCCCAAGGAAATTTGGCAACGCGTGGAGGCCCATACGGCTTGCTTCCTTAGTACGGCAGCATTGCATTCTCTTTTCATCCCCTCGACCGTTTCGAAAACTTGCAGGAAAAATTGCGAAAATCGAAATCGATGGCAATATCGATCTACATTGTCGAGCAATGCTTATGTGCATTGTAATGTTTCATAATCACCAAGAACGTTTAATACTTTTAAGATAAACCAACCGATATATTTGCTTAGAATTTTCTGTGAATATTTGGAAATGAGAGGAGAAAATTCATAGAAAATTTTAAGAACTTTCTCGTATAAAAATAAAACTTGTGCGAAAATTTACAACGTCGCAATCGGAGTTACGCACTTTTTGATTTTAACCATCGAATTGAATCAGGTAAAAGCACAAGGTTAATTTCATCGAATTAAATAGGGATAAATTAATATCTCCCATGATATATGATGTAATAAAAGAATTAAGATGAGCGTTCCAGTAATTTATGCTACGATCATAAAATTATAAATCAATTAATGAAAATAGAAAGCATCTAACTTACTCGTTCGCGCTTTAAAGAAAAATTGACAATATTCAAATGTTAGAAATTCACTAAACTTCAAGTAGCTGCTACTCTTCAATCGTTCTTCAAAGCGCGGGCAAGTGTACATGACCGGTAAGACACGTTCTCTAGTCTCATGCACTCTAGCATAAACTATTGGAACACTCTCATCTCTTTGCATTTTCAAGTGTATTTAGGATTACTTGGAATAAAGTCAATACTGAGTCTTGAGTTGGAACATGTTTTCTGAAAATTAGAAAATCGTCTAGTTTGTAAACCTCGAAGAAAATTACAATTTTTACTTCTGTCGTCTGTTTTTTTTTTTTTTTTGCTACTGTCACAATAATCATCCTAGTTGAGAAAAAAGGTAGGAATGCAAGGTTGCTACACTCAGGAAAAGCTGAAAATGGCAGGGAACTTTAAAGACAGAAAAAGTGAGAAACATGTCAGGTAAATTTTTTTTAAAGCACTCTCGTAGCCTTCTAGAATATGACTGACGTTTTGAAAAGCAAATGTTGCGTGACGGCAAGTGGCCTTTCCAACAGCATTAGTTCGTTTGCGCTATTTCAAATTTTGTCTCTCTAACCATCCCTTTTATCCTCAAATGTCAAGAAAGACCACATGTCAGGTAGATCAGGGAAAAATAAAGGATTATACAATTTTCAAATACTTTTTCATGATAGTTGGAAGTTGGCACGAGCAACACTCAGCATATGCACTACACGAATCAGAGCAAATGGGGCCCAAAAGGGCTAACGTCCCTCCACAAGGAAAATTCCAGGCAAAATTTCGCTGCCAATCTCCTCTTTCAAATTTTAGACCAAGATCATTGAAAAAAAAGATTGGTAGAATTTTCCGGTCCTTCGTGCTGCATTTCACATAGCGTCCATTCAGAGTCAATTCTGCCAGAAAAAAGGTAAACGTTACCATATACTGGTACAGGCCCTTCGACAGGATTCCTCTTCCAGCGGGTCGATTGTTGAATCGTTATCGAATGCTTCTGATCGATAAATCCATATCTTAACAATACTATATATCGATCAAGGTCATTCGATAAAGATTCAACAATCAAGGAGCTGGTGGACTAAGCAAAAGCTTCCACCAGCGCCGCTATAACAATGGAAAGTCTCTAAAAGCGCCTTGAGGCGATGAAACCTAACGTCCGAAATCACCGATTTTTCTATACTTTCTTAATCCAGGTACTTAAACTCGAACAAGAGTTGTAATTTTCAAACTGATAAAAAACCATTTACCCTGTTTCCGGGTAATTTTGACAAATCGGTGAAACAGCGCCGGCACACTTGGCCATCTCGTCACCGGGAAGTGTGGTCCATAAGTAAAGCGCCTCCTTGCAAGCCTCATCACCGACCGACAAAGCAGCGTACCATTCCCTTAGCTTCGATTGCGCTCTTCTGTACTTTCGGGGTTTTATTATTTTATGCCAACTTTGTGCCGTCTCCATTGTTCTGCTGAGGTGATTGAGCTCGTTGCATTTGTCGTTGTAGACGACCAAGTCCAACATTTTCCTTCGGTTTGCCACAAACTGAGGAGTGTTCTGAAAAACGGATACGTCTAACGTGCGGAAATGTTTGAAATGCGCAGACCTATTGAATCGCGTCGTGCGAAAACAGATAATGCCCATTTATCCAGCTTCGGACTAATCTATCTTAAGCGTAGCGTTCATGGAAGCAGTGGCGTGGCGTGCTTTGCGATACATCGATTGATCGGCCATTTAAACCTATTGAAAAGTATCGACAAACAGGGTGTTCGCAGCCAACACCTTAATAATCGATTATTTACCACAGCTTCAAATGGGAAAATATCGATAGATCGCGAAGCACGCCACGCCACTGCATGGAAGTCGTATGCGGACTGGTTTTTGGATTAAAACAGTCTGAAAGCGAGTTATTCTTCGTAACTTTTATGATTGCACGTTACCGCGAAATGTAGTATAAACTTGAAAAAACTCTAAACCGGGAAAATTGAGATTAGCAGTAGACACGACACGATTAAAATGTCAAATCTAGCAGTTTGTCAACCTTCGATTTGAAAACGTCGAAGATTTATCAAATTCTGCATGTTTTTATGGAGATTTTTAGTGTTAGGAGACTTTGATAGAGTACCAACTTCTCTGAAATTTGACAGTGTAAAATTGTTTGCAAGTTTTTTACTGCTATCAAAATTTTGGATATTCTGCAGTCAATGAAGCATCAAACAATTTTCCGGTACAGATTTATTCAGTGCACAAACTGATTGCGGTGGACGCACGGGTCGTAAGACAGTATGTCGGAATTTTTCGCCAACGTGCGTTAAAAATTCAGCATAAAGCTGAAAATCTCAATACATCTCTACAGCAATCTTGATAGCATATCTTTTTGAGGGAAAACTGTGCTCATACGAGCTTTTTCCCCTCTGTATTGAGATTTTCAGCTTTATGCTGAATTTTTAACGCATGTTGGCAAGAAATTCCAACATAGTGCTTTAAGAACAGGGAAAAGATGACAAATTGATCGCACAGTATTTGTTAAGGATCTTTTATCTACATGTTTGAAACTCTCACTTGTTATAAATCTGGGAAAATCTCCAATCTGAAAAATTACGAACATAGTCAAGCTGTACTTACTGGATTAAAAGGAAGAACATCCGGAATAACAAGGAAGAGTATCTGACAAGATACTAGAAGGCTGAAAAGGCCTTTGCACATCACGAAATTGTAAGAGACAAAATTTCTGAAACAGCACAGTGCTCACTGCCAGAGTAAAACATTTTGGGTTGCGTCTCTGTGCCACGTGGAAGCGAACTGACGTAGTACGAGCGCACAGGAAATGGGAGGGCAAACTTTTTCACCCGGAGCAAAAAATAAGAGTGTCGCGTACCCATTATCAGAACTTTCCCAGCTTTATATTATTCACTGCGTAAATTCCATGAAGGAAAAAGAGAAAGCTTCAAAATAGGAGGTTGAAAAGTAGAGAGCAAAGTAGAGAAGAGTTGTTTACCAGAAAAATTCACGGGAAAAATGAATTGTGCCCAGTTCTGATCGGACCCTAATTTTTGGGGTACTGCATCGCCCTACTGCACCGGATGAAATGGCTGTATCTGATTAATGTAGGCTGAACTCTCAACCTCCATTGGAGTTGTGACTGAATCGCTAGATGCACATTTTGGCTCCGACTTAAATTAATTAAGAATTGAAAAACCATTTTTTGTAACCACTGCGCCTCTTTTTCGAGTCTCTACGGTTGGACTAGGAACGATGAAATAAAAAATTCACCGTCAGCAAATAATATTGATTTAAACTTTTTTAGCTCGTCAGAGCAAGAATGAAAAGTAATGAGGGAGGAGGAGAAGACTAAGAAACTTTTAGACAAAATACCGATTATATTAAGGTTTTAAGCATAATTTGATTGCGGCTTATCACAAAATCAATTTAAGGCGGGAAACTTTTCAATATTTTTTTGGAGTTAGGAGATTTTGAAGATTTTTCTATAAAATTACTGTCTGCAAAAATCTCGTCCCAAAAAAAGTATCCTTAGTTACTCTCCGGGTTTGAAAATTTCTTGCTCAAAAACGGGTAAAAAACAGTTTTCAAAAGGTTGCCTTTCATGAAGACTATGCTTTCCCTTTTAGAAATTCGAGGTCAACGCTTTTTGCCCAGAAATTGTACTGTTGACTAAGATGCTACCGTGCTAAGTCATTTTGGATGCAGGATTTCCACTCAACACAAATCGAGGGCTAACGAGCAATATAGCTTACTGACAATTTTGGTAAAAATGAGTTAGCGACTTGACCGCATTCTACAGTAAAAAATACGCAAGCTGATGATTTTAATTTTAATTTTTTTCCAATTCTGTAGTGAAGCGCTGCAATTATGCTGTGGCTGTAATGTATGAAAATATTGCAAATCTAACCATAAAATTACAAAAATGGCAAAGTTAGTTATTCGTTCTGGAAAATCGTCTGTTCGCAAATAGGCGCTAGTGTTCATTAGCCATCGAAATGCAGGTTGCTGAATACGAAGTCTTATGAGATGGGGCGGTAGCAACTCATCCACAATTAACGGCGTAAATGTCGGAACATTTTGGCTTTAATGTAAAGTATAATTTATTGTCTGAAACAAGCCTTATGATTTATATTTTGCAATCAGTGAACTTACGGCAACTTATGTATTTACTGCTCCTTGACTTAGCATTTCAGGATAGGTCCATATGGGTAATCCGCTTACAACAACCCTATGGATTGATCGATACATCCCCTGGATGGTATTTGTTTAACTTAACGGTCAAAGAAATACCGCAGAAGGCGTGGTTGGGACTGCTAGGGCTGTTGGAACTGCTAGGGCTGTTGGCCCTACCCGTGTTCCTAACCTTAGGTGAGTCCCTAACAGGACTCTTGACGTCATGTTGGTGGCTGTAGCCCGTCCTTAAATCACTTTCTCCGCCTGTACCCCAGGAATGTTTGCCATCACTGTCCATCCACTCTTTGACCATTTTTTGTTTATTTCTAATTTTGTCGGTTTTCTCATCCTTCTTTACCCTGGCATCATCAAGAGCACCACTTGCAGCAAAAGCAGCAGCAGCGACAGCAACAGCCTGCCTCTCTGCTTCAAAGTTCTCCCTCTTTCGACTTCTACTCCTCTGGCTCTCTCTGCCATTACTGCGTTTGCTCCTCTGGCTATTTGTACTACTACTTTGGCTCCTCTGGCTATTTGTACTACTACTTTGGCTCCTCTGGCTACTGCTGCTATCATCGCTGTGCTGTGTTGTGAAACTGTAGTATTTGGTAGATGCCGTGTCGTCGCCATCAGAGCTCCTGCTTCCTTCTTGACGGTTGCCGGGGTTGCCCGTCTTTAAAACATCCTTTCTGCTTGTATCCCAAAACTTTCTCCCAAGACTTGCCACCCAGTCTGTGACCTTTCCTGCTTTACTTTTCATTCTGTGGGCTCCCCCTCCATTTTCTATCAAGGCTTTGCCTGTCTTTAAAACATCCTCTCTGCCTTTATCCCATAACTTTTTCCCATGACTTGCCACCCAGTCTTTGGCCATCTCTGCTTTATTTTTCATCCTGTGGGCTCCTCCACCATTTTCTTTCCAGGTTTTGCCCGTCTTTAAAACACCCTCTCTGCCTCTATCCCATAATTTTTTCCCATGACTTGCCACCCAGTCTTTGGCCATCTCTGCTTTACTTTTCATTCCGTGTGCTCCTCCACCTTTTTCTATCGAGGGTTTCAGAAAAACAGTATTCGCAGCAATAGCAGCACGCTTTATGGCTTCAATATACTCCTTCTTCTCGCCTTTACTCCTCTGGATACTCTTGTTATTACTGCTTGTACTCCTCTGGTTATCCCCTCCATTACTGCTCGTGCTCCTCTGGCTGTCCCTGCCACTACTGATTTTGCTCCATTGGCTATTTTTGCTATCTGCACTGTACTGTTTTATTAAACTGGAGCTTTTCGTAAGTGGCTCGCTCTCATCATCAGAGGACCTGCTGCTTTCTTGACCGTTAATGGCGTTCTCGTTGGTGGCCTCAGCGTTCTTGCGGTTTCGTTTAGAGTTTCTACTACTCGTGTCTGAGTTCTTGCTGCCTCTACTTGGAGAATACCAGCGTTGGTGACCAGGTGAGCTGCCAGCGCCAACTTCTGGCTCCAATTTTTGGCGATAGGCTTCATCCACCGCAAGTGACTTTTCCGCGCAATATTTAAAGTCGTGTTTTTTTGGAGGAAAAGGCTCAAGCTCGTCACTCCAAAGGACAGAGCATACCCAGCTGAAAATTTTAAAACAACAAAGTTTAAAATATTAATTTCAAGTATTCTCTTCTAGCTATGCCAATTTTTCGGGAATTCTAACTAATTCAAGCACAATAAAAATGATAACCTATTTTTCAGGCCAGACTCCTTTAGAATATCTGGTTTTTCTCAATCGCGCTCTCTCTTTTCATCCCTCCGACCATTTTGAAAAATTGTAGAATAAATCAACATCGGCGGCTGAAGACGAAAAATGCGTATCTGCATTGCAATGTTTAATAATTCATACTACGTTCAATGTTTTTAAGAGAAAATCAACCAAAATATGTACTTAGAATTTTTCGTGAGTATGTTAGAATTTGAGAAAAAAATTCAAAGAACATTTTGAGGAGAACTGTTGGTTGACTCTCTTTTATAAACGTAAAACGTTAGCGAAAATTTACAATGTCGCGATCGGAGAGACGCTGTTTTCGACCATAACTGTCGAATGGAAGAAGGTAGAAGAATCGGGTTTATTTTATCGAATAAAATAGGTATGAGTTTTTATCTTACACGTCACGGCATGATATTATATAGAAAGGAGGAAGTGAGCACGATTAGCACTAAGCAAAGATATACTACTCGCTTTAGAGCTTTAGATGAAATCACTAAAACGGCTAAAACAGCACAATTCGTCATGTTTGTGTGAATAAGAAACATGTAAGAAAGCTGGAAGTGCACAAAAATTGACGTTGCTTCAGGCAAAACAACGGTAAGGAGCATTATTTCGTCAGGGAGCCAATAAGAGCAATAATTTTAAGCAGAATGGTGCCTTTTTCTGCCAATTTCTATAACCTTCGGTGTCTATAATCGTCGGTGTAAATCTAAAACGCATCCATTGAAGCATGCACAAGATATCTCACTTACAGCTGTCTTTCTTAGAACTAGCCTAACATGAAAATGAATTTGAGTTGACAGTTGAAATAAAATTCGACGATTTTTAATCATCCAAATGATCCCGTTGAGTCCCCCGGACGATTGGTGGCAATTTGACAAAACGGAGGCTCCTTTCAATACAATTTTCAGGTCAGACGCTATACTGTGCTATTTAGCCCATTTTCTCTAAACTCTATTAAGCGCTCAGCCGATAGGCGGCGCTTTTTGATTTCGACCTGCCACTAGAGCTCTAGTATACTAGTGCGCTCAAGCGATCAAATGGCGCACCAACTCATCGATGCACGAAACGCCATTTTTACTTTTTTTTTTTTTGATTACCTCATTATGCCTCTGTGAATACGATTAAATGCAAATTAGCGTAAGAAATAAATAACAGTCCTAAAACTCTCTTTGCTATGCGGTTTATAGTTATCTTATAATTACTTCTGAAAGTTCAAGATTCGCGTTCTGTTTTCCGAAAACTTTTCCACCGGTGATAACCTTATTCGGAGACCTTAGTAGAATTCGCCTACATCTAGGTTATGTGTCTTTGACCTAGGTACTGGAGAGTATTGCCATCCTTTTGCCCTTCTCTGATTGGTTCATGAGTTTTGGCGTCTTTGGCCCTCTTCTGGCTTAATAAGATCAATGTTCATTTTCTGTAGGTACATAGCCGCGATTCAGATTCAGATGACACTACTCTCCCGTATTTGCTTCTCGCGTCTCGCTTACTCCTTTGTGTTTTCATATTTCGTCCATCTCCCTCCATCCATAATTAATTCCATAATCCATCCGCCTCGTTTAAGATTGTGTTGTGAAATTTAAGATTGTGAAATTGTCTGAAATTTGAAGCATAATATTTTGGAATTATTCAACGTATGTCGTGTCTTGTCTTCAGACTCGTTCTGCCCACCTCGTGAAGTTTGTGAAAGTTTCTGAAGTATAATGCTGTGAAATTATTTGACCAATTATCATGCTACCTCAGAGACTGTTTTAGTGTTTTTGGGTTAATTAAAGTATGTCAGGTAGGAGATCTGCCATTTGCGATACATGCAAAATGCTTCATTATACTAGTGTACCACAGTTGTTCTCAAGCACCAATTACAACACGGTTTGCATTTTTATGCTGAATAGCATAGATAAACGACTGGAGCATTTTGCGCAGCTCAAGCGCAGGGATTTGTACCTTCGTAATTGTCACCACCTCATCGCTGCAAATTATGAAAAGGACCGCTCGAGTGTATCCTTGATCATAGAATATCTGTTATTCTCAAAGCGATGTCGTCATCACATCCCTGTCAGTTCACAACTTCTAATTATTGAGTTTAACTAGGTGTCAAAAAATCTGAGATATCTGAAGTAGCAGAAAATTGTGTACTTTCAAAGTCTAAGATTTTTTGCGGCACCGACAGTTTCATAAATCTTCCTTATAACACTCTACTCTGAAACCGCTACATTCTACCTCTCACATTGCTCCATAACAAAGGTATGTGTTAGCCTCTTATTTGTACTAAAAATTCTAGGTTTCATGACTCATTTACTCATTCACTCTCTGGTGAATTTGGTTCCGTCAGATTCATTGCAAGACACCTTATGTGTTATCTCCGCAGACCTAACACAGACATTTGAACGCTCAATGAGAGCAAAATTTCAACTGGCCTGTTGTCTACTTTTCAGTAAAGAGGGTAAATAACCTTCCTTAAGGACTCGCTTTGAGACGATAAAACAAGGTTTCTCCATTACTTACCGTAAGACGATAATAAGTGTTCCACCAGACTATGTAGGAGATGAGGTTGAAAGTTACATCACCTCCATGTGTGAGGAAGTTTTCTTACCTACAACCTGATTTTATGACTTACAATAACAAAAGATACTGCTTTCGCCTGGCATTTTTTCATGCGTCGCATCGTCTAATAAACGGGGACCTACATTTACTTGATTCCATGAATAGGTAAAATGGCTCAGAGAGAATTTCGTCGAATGATCACTACGGCCATCTCTCATCCAGTTGGAGAACTTTTACTTACCTTTGATTAAAAAATTCATGAACCATAGAGTTTTTGGAAATTGAGTACACAATATTATTGTGAAAGATTTTTGAGGTTGAGTCTTTGTTTACATTCTCAAAGTATCAAAAGTTCTACAGTTTCATCGTGTTTCCTCCTAACTTTATCAGCTTATGAGCAATGGCTCCTAATTTACTCAACTCCTCAGCAGGCCAAAACTCTATACCTCTACAGATACATATGAGAATCATGCGTTTCAACGAAACCTACGAGTCCTCTTATCATCACTCAGGAACCACCGATCTTTTCTGCAGGTGTCATGGACCATTCATGACAAATACTGTTGCAACCACCCTTATCCTAGGTACATATCTATGCATAGTAATTCTAGTGATCAGCTCCATACTCACAATGTAATTTCTGTAAAATACAGTTGGACGGTGGAATTACCAGACCCCGTATCTCGGTTTGCGACGTTGTAGACTTCCTTTCATACTTTCTTCTTTACACGGAAAACCAACCAACATCAATTTATAAAAACTTCTGCAATTTTTCTTCTCTGTGCAAAGAAAACTCTGTGAAAACCAAGGAGGAAAAATGATTTGTTCTCTGTCAAAAGAATAAAATGGGAGCGGAGATTTTTAAGCACCGCAAACGAGATACATGGTCTGCTAGTTTCACTGTTGACTTGTTACGATATACCTATACCTACAATATCCCTATAGATTACATTGAAGATATTACTGTCCCTGTAACAGTGACTGATTCGAATGTTATCACAGTAGAGGGTTTCAGATATTTGGGCCAGCATGGTTTATTAATTACACAGAACGTAAGTTACCTTTATAAATTAAGGCGTAGAGGCAACTTCTGCCTTTGGTTGGCCAGAAATTTCTGTAAACGCATTTAAATTCCTAAAATTTATGAGAAATTCCGAATCTACTAAATGAAAGCAAGGATTTCAGGAGAACATGATTAACAATTTGCTGTCAGAAGGAAAACTGCGGAAGGAAAGTGGGAAAGATTTTTCACTAAGGCTCAACATAATATGAGGAGGAAAAAATGAATGTAATTTCCGTTTACCCTGGTTATAATTCTGGTATTGCAAGAATTCTCTTTCTCTATTTACGTAATTACGTATTAGATTATTGTATTGTATGAAATCCTGTTATCACGAAGACAGAGTATCATAGAGCATAAACAATAAACATAGGAAAGGTTGTGTCTGATCATGAGTCATTAGAAGGTTTTAGCGTAGTGTGCTGCAACCTAGCGGACACATGGTGCCTTCGATTCGCGAAAAGTTACCTTCAGTACTCACAATCAGTTGCAGTTGATTGATTTCGTTTATTGTCTCATCATTTACCTATTAATATTTATATTTCGTTCATTTATTTACCTATAATATTTTTTACGTGTCCAATTAGGGCATCATTAAAACAATTAATTTGGCCTCGTTAAGTGATACGTTCATCTTTGATACATTTTCTTCAAATGATCTAGAAAAGTTATTTTTTTGGAGCCGTAATAGTTTTCTCTGTTTTTATGAGAAATCGAGGATTTTTTATGTATTAATATTTCGGTACTTAAGTAATGGATCATTATTTTTCTTATGGATCTTGGATTTTTTTTTTGGGGGGGGGGAGGAAGCACAATTTTAGATGTTTTAATTATTGCAAATTTTAACATACTCAGTTAATAGGTAGTAAATTAAATCTGGGACTCATTAAAATTGCGCTCACCGCTGAGCGCTTCTCTAATACCGACGTATTAGAGCTTTCCCGCTTGTTTTTGCAATTACGGCTCTCTTCTCTATTGTCGTTTGATCAGTTTCTCCAAATTGCTGCACGCGGAGAAGTTTTCCTCTCCGAAAAACGAAAAAATCGTTGCACGCGGCTAGCGCTGATTGCACTGATCAGTGGCGTGGCGTGAATTACGATATATTGATTGTTATGCCATTTAAACCCATGGAAAAGGATCGATAAATAGGGTGTTCGCAGCGAGCACCTTAATAATCGATTCTTTGCATCGAGGCTTTGCAATAGGTTTAAACGGCATAACAATCGATATATCGCAATCTGCACGCCACGCCACTGGCACTGAGCTTATGAAATCCGCCGTGCAGCTTGAGGGGCCGCTGTCCGAACGCGCCTTGTCGAGACAGCCCAACCCGAATAACGAGTATCGAATATAAGCTGATGGAAGAACATTTACCCCTTTTCTTTGGAAATAAGTCGACACATGGGCTGAAACGCGCCGTCGCAAGCGGTTCTCTCCTCGTCGGGGAGTTTGGTGAATAGGAGAAGCGTCTCATTGCAAGCTTGGTTGGCGACCGACTTCGCAGCAAACCATTCCCTTTTTTGTGGCAGCGATCGCAAGTACTTCCGGGGCTTTGCGAATCCATGCAGAACATGAACCTTCTTGAATTCTCTGCTGAGGTGATTCAGCTTTTTGCATTTGTCGTTGAGCACCAAGTCCAACATTTTCCTTCGGTTTGCCACAAACTCAGGAGTGTTCTGAAAAATGGATAACGTCTGACGTGCGGAAATGTTCATTTTAATTGTGGAGACCTATTGAATCGCGTCGCGCGGAAACTGCCAATGTCCATTTTTCCAGCTTCGAACCAATCGATCTTAATCGTGCGGGTGCGTTCATGGAGGTCGTTTGAGGACTCGTTTCTGGATTATAGCAGCCTTAAAGCGAGTTTCTACGTACACTGGAAAAAAAGCACATTGGATCTAGAGTCCAGACTCTTGAAAACATTGACAAGAAAAAGGACTCTTGATTCAATCAGATTTAAGCGTCAATCAAAAGGAAATCCGCTCAAATTAAGAGGCTTGGTTCTTGGTTTAAGCTTAAATCTGATTGAATCAAGAGTATTTTTTCTTGTCGATGTTTTTAAGAGTCTGGACTCTAGATCCAATGTGTTTTTTTTTTCCAGTGTAACTTATATGATTGTGTGCAACCTCGAAAAATAATATGTACGCAAACAAACTCAAAACCGGGAAAATAGAGATCAGCAGTTTTCGTACGACACGATCCAAATGTCAAATCAGGGGTTTTGTCAACTTTCTATTAACAGATTTAAAAGCGTTGACGACTTATCAAAGTCTGCATGCTTTTTAAGAAGATTTTTCGGTGTTTAGACATCTCAGGACATCAAGAGGAGACTTTGATTAAATTACCAATTTTTCTTAGATTTGACGATGTTATTGTTCACATCAGTTTCTACTGTCGAAATTTGGAATATTCTTCAGTTAATGAAGCATCAAACAATTTTTCGATGGATGTTACAGTGCTATCAAAACACAGAAAACATCGTGAGTTGATCAAATATTTTTTTTTTATGAGATTCTATCTGCATATTTGAAACTCTCACTCGTTAAAAAATCTGAGAAAATCTCCGATCTGAGAAATGACGAACATAGTCAAGCTGCACTTACTGGATTAGAAGGAGGAACATCCGGAATAACAAGAAAGAGAAACTGGCAAGAGACGAGAAGCCTAATTAGGCTTTTGCACATCACGAAATTGTAAGAGACAGAATTTTTGAAACAGAAAAGTGCTCACTACACGAGCAAAACATGTTTAGTTGCGTCTCGGTGCTACTACAAGGCGGACTGACGCAGTACAAGCGCACTGAGAAATGACAGGAAAATTTTTTCAGCCTGAGCAAAAAATTGCTGTGTCACGCATCTAACACCAGAATTTTTCCAGCTTCATGCATATTATTTATCGCTGGATCATCAACCTAAATTCGAGTTGTGGCTGAGTTGCTTAAAACAAATACATTCGACCTCCAACTGAAATTAATTAAACATTGAAAAATCATTTTTTCATGTTACCACTGCCTGAATTACTGCATGCCTCCGAAACTCTGGAGGTTGAACCACGAACGACGAATTGAGAAAATAATGGTGATGTACTATGTCAGCTCGTTCGTGAGAGAATGAAGTGGAAAGAGAGGAGACGAAAACAATTTTTGACGAGACAGCAATCATAGTAAGGGCCTCAAACACTGTTTGTCAATGGTTTATCACTCGATCAAGATTAGGTGGGAATTTGTCTTAATTTTTGTGCAGTTTGGCGATCTCGCAGTATTCTTATTATGAAGTACCCGAATCCACGAATATTGCATCTCAGAAATAATTCGAAAGACTTCCCCTAGAATAACGAGGAAAATTCGGTAGTGTCTGAATGGTGTCGGAAGCACAATAGGACGTATTTCTGTCAAACGGAACTATGTGCATTAAGACATGAGCCCTGAGACCCATAAGAATATGTGCATGACAGGGCTCACGTCATAATGCACATAGTTCCGTTTGATAGAAATACGTCCAATAGATGATACCATACCGGGGAAAAACGTCATGCGACCATTCAGACGTTGGTCAATTTCTTCTTTTTAAATGCGAGATTTTCTTGAAAAAATAGAACATGGTCAGCGATTTACATCATCACGATGGCAGTTACGTTTTTTTGATTTTAGACATCAATTTTGCTTTTTTATCAGGGTGTCTATTTTGAGCAATAACAGGACAAAACGGATTGTATCAGGAAGTTTTATGGTATCAGGAAAAAACAGGAAAATCGGTCATGAATCAGGCAGGAAATTCTAGCATTTTCCACGCAAGCGTAGTTAAGCACATGCAACAGTGAAGCATTCGATGAAGTTCATTATGCTCATGTGTTGTGGTTCGTTCAGTGAAACGAGTGTCAGTTAATTCGAGGAAAAAATCAGAAAATGTGTTTTAGAATATCAGGAAAATCCAAAATAAATTTTAGTAGACACCCTATTGACACACCAGTCTGAAAGTGCTCCTGACATGTCAATTCTCGTGTTCCATAGGTTTCTTCAACATCGAGCTCACACCGCGTGGTGCGCACTGCCGCACCAAAGGAAAACGCCGTATGCGCCATCATGAGTTTCCAAATTTCCTTCGACAAATCACGAATTTTCTGTGCGAATATTTCTCTTCAGATTTTTCAGAAGATCTTCTTCGTAATTCGATCCTAAAAATTTGAACATTTCAAGGAAAAATATTCATAACTTTCCTCAAAAATGGATATTTTCTGCCAGGTTTGGCAGTATTCGAGTGCTCATACGGTGCTTTTACTGAGCACGGCAGGGCTGACTTGGATTGCATTTTGCAAAAAGGAACCAGAAGCATTGCAATGATGCTAAGATTGTGCAAATTCATCTTTCGCAGAAAAATAACTGAAATCATGAAAAAATACGAAATTTACATGGTAATTTTTGTCTTAGATTCACAGTTTTCAGCGAGTAAAATAGAAACTGTCAATGGATAATCAGGTTTTTTTCCAAGACCAAATAAGTTGCACAGTCTTAGCAACATTGCAATGCTCGTGGTTCCTTTTTGCAAAATGCGATCCACTTGATCCACTGTGCGGTGTGAGGAAGAAAACCCGTTGAACTTTTCGCGTATCAAGTTGAAAGCTTTGATGGTGCGACCGACCGAGATCCATGGCGTTCCGCCTCGTTTTCTCGGACTGATAAGGGGATATTAATGATTCGCAGGTCCCGGAGGTGCTCCTCGCTCGCGTCCAGGAAGTGTTTAGCTCTGATACAACGCAGTAGCATTGAATCGTCGGTTAGTTCGAACGGAAGCGAGGGGTTGTCGTTTTTCCCGTGTCTGCGAGGCGACAACCCTATCCCGTCAAAATCCCAGATTCTGTGCGGAAAATGCATACAGCCATCGGTAACTAGTGGTGGATCCGGTGGGGGGAGCACTCCCTCCCTTCGAGCCAAAAAAGGGGGCAAAATAAGAGAAACGGGAGGAAAGGAGGGTAAAAAGGGAGAGGAAAAAGTGTGCTCCTAAAAATTTACTGAAATGTTAACAAGACGAAACCTCGGAGCTTTTAACCAAGTTTACTAAACCAAAGGTTACTCGATACCGCAGAAATAGGCCGTGTACCAAAATAAAATTTCTCTGAAAGAGGTATTATTCGTCAGTTTTCAACTTTCAAATAATTCGCAGATTATATGCTAATTTAGTTCATAATTTATTAAAACTGAAAGATCAACCTTTTCAGGCTAAGCATTTCCTGTTGCAATTGTAACGAAGAACGAAGTCCTTAAGAAATAACAGGGAACGGTTCCTTCTCTCTGATTCATCAAATCGTCGCTCGGCTGACATAAAAGCGTTAATTGAGATGAGCCCGGAAAAGCATTGGAACGTATGGAAGACAGGGTTAATTGCATAGTGCAGTTACGCCCTTATGTCAGGTAGGCGACGAAATAATCCTCATAACGTTTAGTCGCTCTACCAGTTTCGTGGCGTGCTTTGCAATTTATCGATGGACAAGCCATGCAAAGCCATGAAAAAGATCGATTATCTGGACATTCGCAACGATCACCATAATAATCGATTCCTTACCATACCTTTAAATGAGATAACATCGATAGTCAATTCTCGCGACTGTGCTCTTCCCACAGGTTTGTTACTTATGACACGACTGTAAGTGATGAGTGGCAGGCAGCTCATTTTCACCGGGAAGCGCGCGTGATTCAAGCGGCACGAAGCGATCGGCAAACGAGGCTTTTCAAGCGAGTTGTGCGACAAACATGGGTCCAAGGAAAGCACGCTCGCACGCACGTCCGGGGACCGTTGAACGAGGAAAACTCCTCCGCGGCCGTTAAAAAGGCCACTATTCGTTTCCGCCCGGCTCTGCGCATCGTCGAAGCGACCCAACTTCAATTGCGCGGCGCAGCCGACGCGACGTCGCGTCGGCGGGAAAAGAGGAAAGAAAAGCGGAATGAAACCGGCGGAATGCCTTATCTTGCACGCGGCTTTGCACTTCTCCGTGAGTTGCCGCGGCGAGACGCCACCGGCGCCACGCTCTCCAGCGTCGCCACGTCGAGAGGAGATGCGTCGCGTCGCGGCGCGTCGCGTCGTGGGAGTTATCCGGTAGTTGGAAGAGTGACAGGAGGAATGGAGGAGGAGAAAGAAGGAAAATAGGACTATTTCTATCAAACGGAACTATGTGCAATATGACGTGAGCCCTGTTATGCATGTATTCTTATGGGTCTCAGGACTCATGTCTTAATGCACATAGTTCCGTTTGATAGAAATACGTCCAATTGGGTGTCTAGCATCAGGATTTTACCGATTCTATCAGGATTTGAGGAAAAATTGGTCGTAAAATCAGGATTTGAGAAAAGTAGGCCGTCCGATCGGATTTTTTTATGCTTTCGCATATGCTCATGCTGAAATTTTAATTTTTCTCCCAAAAAAATCAGGATTTGATCAGGATTTGGAAAAATTTTAAAACCAGTGTTTAGCGGTCAAAAATCAGTTAAAATCAGGATTTCATCAAGATTTCCCTTCCCAAAATGAAAAAAAAAAGCCAGACACCCTGGAAAAGAAGGAACCAGAAGGTAAAAGAGAGGGGAAGGTAAGAAAAAGAAGAAAAATAGATGGGAGAAGGAAAGGGAGAAGTAAAAGGAGAAGAAGAAGACGAATACCAAAAATAAAAGGAAAGAACTAGAAAGATAAGGAGCTGAATAAAAAGAGAGGGACATATAAAAAAAGCAGGAGAGGGAGAAGTAAAAGGAGGAGAAGAAGACAAATAAAAAGGAGAAAGAGAAGTAAAGACGAAGTATGTATACGAAATAAATTGTTTTGTCACATTATTTCTTCCTTCTTATACTCTTCCTCTTTTTTACTTCCTTTTCTTCTCTTCTTCTTTTTGTAATTCTGCCGCCGCGTCCTCTGTATCTTCTTCCTCTTTTTCCTACTTTTCCTCTTCCTCTTTTTCGCCGCAGATTCGAAAGGAACTGTCAACATTATCACTATTTTACAGGCCGTATCGGTTTTTTTGTAGATCTGCACCCATGTTGATCAAGTGAGGAGTCAAATTGTAACAACTCGACGAGGATATTAACCCTGGTAAAAGATGTCTCTCCATTGCGTCGATTAACTCGACGCTCTTAGGTTCGTTCTCAAGATACAACTATTTTAACGTGACAGGAGTGAAATTGCATAAACGATCAATCGAAGGCGCATTCAAGTGCTCGCAAGTCAGCTCCCGATGAAAGAATTTCTGCCCTTGATGTGAGGTTTATCCTAAAGATACAGCTATTTTAACGTGGCGGAAGTGAAATTGCATATTCGGAAAAGTGAAGGCGTATTTGCGTGCGTGCTAATCACCTTCCAGCCCACGAATTCCCGTAGGCTATTCCGTGTTTGAAGTGCACTCAGGTTCATCCTAAAGATAACTACTTTAACGTAGCGGAAGTGAAATTGCATTCGACGGTGAAACTACCAAACCACGTATCTGGATTTGCCATGTTGTAGACTTCTTGTCATACTTTACTTTTTAAATTGAAAACTACTGAATGTAAGTTCTTGAAAACTTCTGTGATTTTTCACCCTTATGATTCTTCCCTGCATGAAGTAAACTCAATGAAAATTTCGAGGAATGGTATTTATTCGTTCTCTTTTCAAAAAATAAAATGGGAGGAGAGATATTTTTAAACACCGAAACGAGATACGTGGTCTGGTAGTTTCACCATCCATGTACATTTCAATAAAGGAGAAGAGTTCTGCCGTGCTAAGGAAGAACGCCGTATGAACATTTGAGAGTTGCCAGATTTTTTTCGAGAGTTATGACTAGTTTTCCTTTAAATTTTCAGAATCCTCAGACAAAATTGCGAACTAAATTATCCGAGAAATTGGTTGACAAATATTCCAAAATTTTCCTGAAAAGTAGTGATTTGCCAGGGGTAATTTGGCAACGCCTTAAGGTGTATACGGCGTTTTTCTTTAGCACGGCAGAGTTGAGAGTCAAATTAAGCCTCTCGGAAAAGAAGAGGAACAGACTTTCGGGCGGGGCTAAGAGGGTT